ACTTGGGTTTGATTCCCCGAAGTCTCAGTATAGCTTACTCAGCATGTCATAAACAGTTGCAGTTTCAGTGTTCATAACCAGTTCAAGAATACATGTCTCATTCCAATCCTATTCAGTATTCCAGTATTATGTAACTCAGTAGAATTCAGTATTCCAGTATTATGTAACTCAGTATGATTCAGTATTCCAGTATAATGTAACTCAGTATGATCCAGTATTCCAGTATCATATAACTCGGTGTGATTCAGTATTTCACTATTATGTATTGCAGTATGATTCTCAGTTCCTGATTTTAAATCCCTGAATGTTGAACACCTATCTTTGGGCCTGAGGCCGCAGCTAATGCTTTATGCATCTTTGGGCCTGAGGCCGCAGTTTATGCTTTGTGCATTTTGGACCTGAGGTCGCAGTTATGTATACGTATACTTGGGCCCGAGGCTGCAGCTTGTGCACATATATACATATTGGGCCTGAGGCCGCAGTTTAATATTCAGATAAGCAGGTTGTTCATCATTCAGGAGAGGGAGTATTCATATCCTTACTTCCTTTATTCAGTTCAGTTACCAGTTATCAGTTATCTTTTCAGTTATCAGTTATGAGTTATCAGTTCGGTTATCAGTTATGAGTTATCTTTTCAGTTACCAATTCTCACTTCTTTTTCAGTTTCAATAGTTATCATTTCAGTTATCAGCTTAGTTTCAGTTTCAGCATTTATAATTCTTTCTTTCAGTTGCTTTACATACCAGTATAATTCAAATGTACTGACGTCCCTTTTTGCCCGGGGCCTGCATCTCACAATGCAGGTAATGATTAACAGGTTGATGATTCAGAGCGCTAGGATTCTCGTACCAGCTAATTTGGTGATCCCGATTTCTTTCGGGGCATTATCATTACCTTACAGTTTTCAGTACTTAAAGGCAGTCAGTATTTTCAGTATATTATTAGAGGCTTCGTAGACTAGAGTAACAGTTAGACAGAGTCACAGACTTTTCATATTAAGCCATGTTGGCTACAAATATGTTTCAGAATTGTATTAGTATTTCCGCACTTTGATTTATATCATCCATATTTTTCAGTATATCAGCATGTGTTAGTTTATCTTCTGCATTCAGTATGTTATGATACCACATGTTGATTCAGCCAGCCAGTTGGTTTGCTCGGTCACATGTAGTCGGGCGCCGAGTGTCGTGTTATGTCCAGGCCCAGGTTCGGGGCGTGACAATTGTATTGTATTGTACTGTATTGTTTGATAAATACAATGTTTGGATAGATTGTATCGTTTGTCGTCGTTTTATGATATCACACACCAGCAATATGAAGAATAAACTTGCAATATTATAAAGAAAAATTATGATACGGTATATAAAAAGGTAGAGTAAATAATAAATAAAATTATTTAATAATAATGAAGGGTGAGACTGAGAGAAAAAGACAAGGTAACGACGCGACCACACCAAATCGGTCGTTACATAAAGTGGCACATTTCGTCACTACGTAACGACGGATTTAACAATGCGATATAATAAAATTTAAGTAACAATCAAAACAAACATTGTATTTAATGTAACAACACGATACAATACAATAGGTAAAAACCATCCAAACTGTGATGACCCGACCCGTCGTCTCAGGTATTACTGCTTCGTTTCTCCCAATTTATGTTTCCTTATATTTCGTCATCGGTATGTGGTGTGTTAGAGTTGATTTGGATTGGTTTTTGATAAGAAGTGAGACACTTAGTCTCTTTAAGGAAGGCTTAAGTTGGAAAAGTCAACCGGACGTTGACTTATGACTTAGAAGGCTCGGATGTGATTTCCGGTGATTCGTTAGCTTCAGGAAATAATTTGTGACTTAGGAGTGCGATCGGAATTGATTTTGGAGGTCCGGTGTAGAATTAGGCTTGAATTGGCGAAGTTAGTATTTTGGCGAATTTCGGTTGATAGGTGAGATTTTGATCCGAGGGTTGGAATGGAATTCCGAGAGTTGCTGTAGCTTCGTTAGGTGATTTTGGATATGTGTGCAAAATTTCAGGTCATGTGCATTGTATTGCGTTCATGCATCGGTTCCTATTTGTACTACGTGTCATGACATTCAGCACTCTCATTTCATTGGCATTCATGCTACTTCTTGCACTGTTTACCAGACGCCCTGGTGTTAATTGTTAGTGGAGTGTTGTGCCCGAGGGGCTAACTTATGTGCGGACTTGCATTATCTGAAAGCGCATTCATTTGCTTGACTATTGTAAAAGGATATTTTCAAAAGAGGTTTTTAAACTGAGCCAGATATTTTCTAAAGGATTTTTCACGGTCTTACTGTTTTCTAAAAAGGGTTGTACTGTCCTATATAGCATGATGGAGTGCTCTTACGTGATTTCTTGCCTCTCAGTTATTATTTACTCTTATTACCACTGAGTTGGAAGTACTCACTTTACTCCCTGCGCCTCGCGTGCAGCTGCAGGTATCGTTCACCCAGTAGCGGGTTATTAGCGGATTGAAGGTATTGTTATTGTAGCTGAGCAAGGTGACCAACAGCGTTCGCGGCACCGGATGTTGTCTTTTGTTTTTCCAGAAATTCATTTTTGTATAATATTGGCCCTGTAGTTAAATCAGGTTCCTTTAGATGCTCGTGACTTGTGACACCCAGGTCGGGTAGTAATTAACAGTTTCTAATGCCATTAAGTTGTATCTTCTATTCATTTATGTTTAATAATTGTTAGTGAAAGGATTTGGGTTAGTTGGCTGGCCTTGTCTTCACGAGAGACGCCATCACGACCGGGTGTGGGAATTGGGTCGTGACAAGTTGGTATCAGAGCCTAGGTTACTAGGTCTCACGAGTCATGAGCAGGTTTAGTAGAGTCTCGCGGATCGGTACGGAGACGTCTGTATTTATCCTCGAGAGGCTGCAGAACCTTTAGGAAAACTTCCCATTCTTGGAAGTCTTATCGTGCGTACTTGATTCAGCTTGAGATATAACTCTTGAAATTCCTTCCACACGTCTGTATGTGCATGTGAACGCTCAGTATTATATGTGCCTTGATGGTTTGTGATTCCCCGATCGAGGGGCGAGATGTAATCTTTGTGAGTATGTTGGGCCAGTCTGGAGGACTTGAGGCCGGATCCTTGCCTATGGCTTGAGCACCGAGGTGCTGATTGTGTGAGCAAGTATTTTGAACTTATATGTTCAGTATTGCCCCTATTAGCCGGAATGGCGGTTCGGTATTCATGTGAAGAGTATGTTAGTATTGCGAGATGTAATTATATGACTTGGTACTGACGAAGAAGTCTGCAGGATAATAGATGAACTGTTAAGTGATTCGACTCCTATTGTGGATTGATGTGTAGCCCGAATTATGGGCGCGTGAAGAATATCTTCGTATCTCCTAGTTGGAAAGTAAAGTACAATACGTGTGGCGGTATGAGTTCAGACTCAGGAAGACTAATGACTGAGTAACGTATATGATGGTGAAAGGTATGCTGAAGTACTAAATTGAGGCGAAGCAGGGGTCATCTCCTGCGGAGTGTTCTTGAGTGGTATGGTCCTTACGTGTATGTTAGAAGATCTCATGTGTAATTGAAGGGTATGTGTTGAAATTTAAAAATTCGGGTCGCTTAAGAGAGTGGACTCAGTTGATGTGGGGATAAATGCGAGGGTTGTAGAGGATTTCAGTACTAGATGATCTGTGTTTTCACAAACTTGTAGATGATTTGAGTTTAATCTCACTATGACATTGTGGCATCATTAGAGTAAAAGTGTTATGAGTTGTTAAGTGTGTCTTGATATATGGCTTCGAGCCAAGTTGGGGAGGTTGCTATTGATTAGCTGATTGCACGGTTATGTGCTATGTTGGTTACGTCTCGAGGTATGCTGGCGAATCGGTTCTAGTTGCAGAAATTGAGCCAAGGATGGGCGAGTGAAGCAAAAAAAAAATTTCGACAAAGGTTATATTATTTTCCATAGGGTATGAGAATTTCGGAATGTCTAGAGTTGTTGTTGGTAAAGAATGCTCGGTGCATAGAGCAGGAAGTTGCTTGGTTGTATTGGGATGAGGGTCTCATTTTACGGTATCGGAGTGTCAATAAAGCACNNGTCTTTATTTCTATAATATTTCCTTTTTGATTAGGCTTGCCTAGTCTTAAAGACTAAGTGCCATCACGACATTCTAAGGTGAAAAAATAGAGTCGTACCAATTCCATTGTACAAACAAGATTGGTTGGCCGATATGCCAAAAAGTAGTCTTGGAGCTAAATTGAGAAAACAAGCCACGTCCGTTACAGTGAAAAAAAGTGATGATTTAATTAGGTTGCCCATCAGGTGTTTGTTGGACTTGAATAGCACCGGCCCGTTATCCTTCCACTGCATAGAGCAGGAGTTCTTCGTTGCTCTGTGAAACCAGCCTCACGCAGTCCACCCCACTCTAGGAGCCAAGAAGCCCATACTTTCGTTTGGGCCACATGACTCAACTCCATGCTTGGATAGGGCAAGCCAAGCATTAGCTATTTGAAGCCCAGCCTTCAAGATCAATCTAACATTCCACCACATTATTGCCCCTACATAGGTTACAAGCCCATGTTACCAGGCTCGGCAATGGAAGATCTATTATCATTCAATTATATAGTAACAAAAGTCATTCTTCAAAAACGATGTGGGAAATTTGAATTAGATATGTCTTATGTTTTCTTTTGCAAAGTAGTGAGACAATGAGACTACTATTGGAAAAAAAACAATGAAATTGATACTACACAAGATTAATTACTATAAACATTAAACAATAAGACAAAAAAAAAACATAACGTTCCCTTTATTTCTGAAACAATTTAGGAAATTAAACTCTTGAGTTTAGTCAACTTCACATGTTTGATAAACCTGAGCTCGAATTAGCACAAAAATATCATGGCCTTAAAATCACTCAAATCCTACTACAAATTGATTATTGTATATCATCTAATGGAAGAACTAATTATGGGACGTATTTTCTTCCTTATCCTTCATAATAATAATTTTCATGCCTTCACTAGTTGAGCCAAAGCTGTCATGGCATGTGATTGGCCTGAAATAATTCCTGCAGTTGAAGGATTTTGTCCCAATACAATACAATAACCATCATCATAATTCTCCATTCCTTGTGCCATTAGTTGCCATACCAAGCTTCCTGCCATGGTTCCTCCTTCTTTTGCCAAATTGTAGATATTTCTATACACTTTACTCATGAATGTGTCTCTTGAACTAAGATTGTATCCTTGACCTCTACTAGACTTGCCAAATTCAGCTAGTACTAGAGGTTTCTTTAGTATGGTTTTTGCATCTTCCCAATGGCTTGTCACCCACCTTTGCATCCATGCTAATTGTGCTTCATCGTTTTGTCCTGATACCCTATAAATATAAAAAGTTTAAGGCTTTTGCATTGACGATGTAAATAATATTTGCACAATCAAACCACTAATGAGGTGCTACAAGGAAAAATATGAATTTGTGAGTGGGGCAAAGACGTTAATATACCATTGGTCAGTGTACGCATGGATAGTGGCAAAATCTATCTCATTGATAAGATGGTTACTGATGAAATCTGTTCCCACTTGATAACCAGGATTAACTGCCTTCCTTTCAGGAACTGAATCACCATAAAATCCCTCCATTCCTACCTCTAGCAAGTGTTTGTTGTCTAGTGACTTCACAAAACTTGCCATTTCTTGAACCCAAGCCTGGAATAATATTAGTAAGAAACCAAAAATTTACAGTTAAAAGTCAGCCATTGATATTTCAAAATTTTAATTAGTTGGAAATGAGTTCAAAAGCATTAGCTTACATTAAGAGTTTTTCCAGAATAGTCAGTTTGATCACGTGGCTCATTAATGAGTTCCCATGCCATAATTGTTGGATCATCTCTGTATGCAACTTTAGTAATGGTATTGAATCGTGTAACAATTTTCTGCAGCCATTCACAACAACATAGATTTATTAACCACCATATACCAACTTTCGTAGTCTTGCTTAATAATAAAGATACTATGTAGGTCAAAGAATTAGATTGCATAAATATCAAATAATTGATGTTTAAGTTAAAAAAAAAAAGTCCTATGTTATTATCAATATACCTTAATGTGGTTCTTGTAATAATCTTTGAGTATAGGATGAGTATAGAAATCATCGTCGCCATTGATCTGAGCCCCTGCATTTCGCGCCCATTGAACATATTGAGCCTTTCCTCCAAAGTCGTTCCAGTTATTTACAAAGCTCAAGATTAAGCGAACATCATATTTCTTAGCTTCCGAGATCACAAAGTCCAAACCCTAAATCCATAAAAACATAATATATCCCTAAAATTAGACACCATCAAAATAAGTATCTACTATTGACACATTTCATGCATGTCAATTTGACAATTAAACCGCAAAATATTTAGTCAAAGAAATTAACATATATACCTAACATGGTTCAAAGAATTTTTAAACTATCAAGACAATTTAATTAGCTAGTTATAGTAGGTGATTACTCTATTTTCTACTAACGCATTAAACTTGATATGTAGTAGCACAAAACATAAAACTTTACCTCAAAAACACGTTCATCGTAAACTCCGGGCGATATTTGTAATGCTCTGTCACCTCCATCACTAAAAGCCCACGTGCGACAAACAGAAAGACCAGCAGCAGATGCATCTTTAAGAACCTCAGTGACTTTGTACCTCTCACTAGGTTCAGCAGCAACATGCATCAACCAATACGAGTTGAAACCATTGAATAGAAAAGGGGATCCATTGAGTTCAAAATGGGCACTATTAACTGCTATAAACCCTACATTAGCATTTCTTGGAACCCTAGCTTCACATGTGAGAGCTAGAAACAAGAGCAGAAGGCCAGAAATACAACAAGTTCTTGTAAAAGACATATTGTAGTTTAATTTCTATACTGAATGAAAGAGATGTGATATACTAGAGGTCACCTATACTTGGCTTTTATAATGAGTTCAGATAAGAAAATTTACTAAAAATAGCAAAACTTGCAGAACCAAGAAAACTTTCCTAGTGGATGAAAACTGAAATTTGGTAAGTTTACTTGAAGATATTTTTTTTCAAAAAGCATCACGGGATGTTGATATATAGAATTAAGGGTGTGTTTGGTATAACGGAAAATGTTTTCCGTGGAAAAATATTTTCTTGGAAAACAAGTAGTAATCTTATTCATTTTCCGGTGTTTGATACGCAAATTAAGGAAAATGAGTTTTCAAGAGTATTCATAAATAATTTAGATATAATAAACATGAAGCCATAAACTTTCAAACCAACAATCTTCCGAACCCACATTTTTCATAAATTCTCGAACCGCTAAACTTTCGAAACCGCGGAATTTCTAACCCCTAAACTTTATAATTTCTAAACTCGTAAACTTCCAAACACATAAACCTTCGAACTCATAACTTTGGAACTTGTAAAATTTTGATCCTTTAAACCGATAAATAAAAAAACTAAAACTGAAAAATATATTAAAAAAGATTTTCGGGAGGGGGGGGGGGGTAGGGAAGGGACGGAGGGAGGGGTGGTAATGGAAAACTAATATTTTTGAAAAGAAAAATCTTTTTTGGAGAGAGGGGTTGGGGTGGGTTGGTGAAGGTAGGGATGGTTGAGAAGGAGTTCTGGAAAATGTTTTCCCTTCTCTTGATAAGGAAAATATTTTCCTCCAATTGGAGGAAAATGAGTTCATAAGCAAAATATTTTCCAAAACCTTTAAGCCAACCAAACATGAAAAAANAGAAATTGCGCCGAGGATGGGCGAGTGAAGCAAAATTTCGACAAAGGTTATATTATGTTCCATAGGGTATGAGAATTTCGGAATGTCTAGAGTTGTTGTTGGTAAAGAATGCTCGGTGCATAGAGCAGGAAGTTGTTTGGTTGTATTGGGATGAGGGTCTCATTTTACGGTATCGGAGTGTCAATAAAGCACGAGTGGTTCTGTTCGTTAAATCAGGTAATTTGCAGATGAATAAGAGAGAATGACTCTCGAGAATGGTTTTAATGTGTTCAAGAATCTACATGTAGCACTCAGGTGTTTTAAGGTGGTGTATGTGACTAAAGACAGTGTTTTCAATAGAAAATGTCAAGACTTGTGGTACTTTTATGTTGATCATGGGATCCTATGTGTCGATACCTGGAAAGTAATGGAAGCGAATTTAGATTCGCAGAAAGTTCTCAGAGTGAAGTATTCTGGAATGTGGTATTTCTGGGAAACAATTGAGAGAGTATTCAGTGGCCTATGGGTCTTAGACAGTGTGGTCTTATGTTCGAGTCTCGTGTGGTAAGCTTGGATTGAGGCATTGTGATGCTACAACGAGGGAGAAATATCAAGTGGATGATGAATCAAAAATGGAAATTAGATAGATGGAATAGCTTGATAGTAGACCGAATCGGTATGGTAAGGATGTGATTAATTCTTCGTATGTGTTCGAGGTAATGGGCTTTTACAGGTATTGTGCAGCAAGGCTCTTGAGTTCTGACAGCTTGCTTAGCTTGGTTCGGGTAGAAGGATTCAGTCCCGGCGGTTTAGCTTGTGCAATGGAATTGGGGGAGAGTTCTTGATAAGTTTTTACCGTGGTTTAGAGACGTATAAATTGCCTATGGGCATGCGAAGCATGGAATGTGTAATGATTTCTCTTCTTGATGGGATTGATGGAGAGTTCTTGACCAATGGAGTACGTAGATGTTTGTGGTTAGGCAGGGAGATGGAGTTCTCATGTTATACTAGTGTGGTATGGTATATGCGATATGTGGTGGAGGATTGGGATTTGTGTGTGTAAGGTTACGGTTCAGTTCATAATGGAAAGTCATTAAATTCTTAAGCAGCACGGGCAGCTGCAGGTGATTAAAGAATCGATTTTCAAATGATTAAGGAAAATGGTATTGCCAACCATAGTGAGTAGACGGGGGTATATGTTCCAGTAAAAGGGCAATGTGAGGTAAACTGATAATACTTCGGTAGTGTTGTGGCATTTAGGATCGTCTGTTGGTATCTGAGTTTGTTTGATGGCACAGGGAAATTTTAGAATATCTTTCGTGGAGTGATTGGATACTCGAGGTGTAATAGGTATTCATACGGCAGAATTCGGGATCAGGTATAGTGATTCGTGTGCTATATGGAGTTGGAGACTAGGAGTTCTCGTGATCAGACTATGCAGTGGTTGTAGATCGTGTGTATCGGCGCCGTTTAGCGGTTATTGAGATGTGGAGGTCCGAGTGGATCTTTTCCTTGCTTGGTATGCCAGATTTTGGATATGATATTGGATTGTAGACTGGTTGTCTTAGTGTTGGATTATTCTAGACTATTGTACTACGGGCTATGCCGGAAATGCCACGGGTTGAGTGGCGAGGTACATTGGATTATGTTCTTGCAGAGTGGTATATATTTCAAAAGATTCAGCGGATGGCTAAGAAGGATTGCTTTCCTTAATAGGGTCTTCGTGATGGATGTCAATGCAGAGGTTTCTACCATTGATTCAGTTCCGGTATTGAGTGACTTTTTGGATGCGTTTTTTTTGTGGCTGGGCATGTCGCCGGGTGAGATGGCGGATTTCGGTATTTATTTGGTGCTGGGCACCGTATCGTACGACTCTAGTAGGAGTTATAGTAGTGGAAGGAGCAGCTTCAGGCTTTTTGGTATTGAGTTCGTTGGCAGGCCAATGTGGCTACGTATTTAGCTTGAGTTAGCTTGGTTAGTCTTGAGTTGTATTGTTGAGGGACAGGTGGATTCGATCGTTATTGAACTTGTTAGTGATCTGGGGAGATCTATGAGTTGCTTTTTCTGTGCTGTGAGGCGTTATGATTTGTTGGTTATGGGCACACGTGGTGCAGATCTATTGGGGATTCATAGTGGAAGTCGAGCGGGAAGAGTAATCGGATGTTGCTCGGTAAATGGAGTGTGGGTTATGACCTATCAGGTGGCGTGTCGTATGTTGTTTATTTCACCATAGGGTGCAATGAATTGCCTTGGTTTCAGACATCAAATTGTGTGTGGCTGTCGAATTTTGATCACAGTGTCTTGAGGTGCTCCATGTGTAACAGTGTTTGGATAGGATCGCGCATTGTAGCGAGGCTGCGTTGAGTTATGACCTTCGGGGTAGATTCAGGTGTTCTATTTCTATGATGTGAGACGGGGTCTCAACCTTGTGTTGTGATGATACTGATAAGCTTGAAGTACAGCTCTTTTGTTTGAGTTATTTTCATGATTTGAGTATATAAAGGTCGTTTCTTGTTGGTACGCGTATTATGCAAGTTGTGGCTTAGGCCTGTGTTGAGGTATCATATCACCAGAGTGGTGTGTTGGATTCGAGGTGATCGTTAGAGTCATTAATGAATATGAACAGAATTGATTGCAGCTTGTTAGAGAGATAATATCAAGGTATGGCCCGGAAATCTGTTGTGATATTAGTCAAAGGGAAGTTGCTTAATGAATGGTGGATCTGAGGAATAGTTACGATTTATCGCGTGTTTCATTTGTTGTTGGCAGTATATGGAAGTGTCGGAATAAGACTTTAGCTAATAAAAGGTTTTCTATCGGTATTTGGTTATTATGGGCAACTGCTGTAAATAGAGGCTATCGTTTCGAGTGTTTGGATTATGTGGTATATCATATGATTTCACCTGAGGTTGCAGGTATGGGTTATTACAGCTGGTCCGGGTTTATTCTGGGTATTGATGTGAGGTTCTGATCTTGTGTATGATTTCGGGAAGTGCAATGTGGTTCTACGATTTATGGTCTTGATGGACTGTGAAATTTCAGCTATGATGTATTATCGGACCTATGTCAGATAGGGTGACGTGGGATCACCCCGGGTATATGCGTGGTAAGGTTATTCAGCTGTTGGTTGGCTTCTAGTACAACTCTGGGTACACTCGAGGACGAGCGTTTGTTTAAGTTGGGGAGGATGTGACGACCCGACCCGTTATCTCGGGTATTACTGCTTCGTTTCTCCCATTTTATGTTTCCTTATGTTTCGTTATCGGTATGTGGTGTGTTAGAGTTGATATGGATTGGTTTTTGATAAGAAGTGAGACACTTAGTCTCTTTAAGGAAGGCTTAAGTTGGAAAAGTCAACCGGACGTTGACTTATGAGTTAGAAGGCTCGGATGTGATTTCCGGTGATTCGGTTAGCTTCGGGAAATGATTTGTGACTTAGGAGTGCGATCGGAATTGATTTTGGAGGTCCGGTGTAGAATTAGGCTTGAATTGGCGAATTTAGTATTTTGGCGAATTCCGGTTGATAGGTGAGATTTTGATCCGAGGGTCGGAATGGAATTCCGAGAGTTGCTGTAGCTTCGTTAGGTGATTTTGGATATGTCTGCAAAATTTCAGGTCATGTGCATTGCATTGCATTCATGCATCGGTTCCTGTTTGTACTACGTGTCATGACATTTAGCACTCTCATTTCATTGGCATTCATGCTACTTCTTGCACTGTTTACCAGACGCCCTGGTGTTAATTGTTAGTGGAGTGCTATGCCCGAGGGGCTAACTTATGTGCGGACTTGCATTATCTGAATACGCATTCATTTGCTTGACTGTTGTAAAAGGATATTTTCAAAAGAGGTTTTTAAACTGAGCCAGATATTTTCTAAAGGATTTTTCACGGTCTTACTGTTTTCTAAAAAGGGTTGTACTGTCCTATATAGCATGATGGAGTGCTCTTACATGATTTCTTGCCTCTTAGTTATTATTTACTCTTATTACCACTGAGTTGGAAGTACTCACTTTACTCCCCGCACCTCGCGTGCAGTTGCAGGTATCGTTCACCCGGTAGCGGGTTATTAGCGGATTGAAGGTATTGTTATTGTAGCTGAGCAAGGTGACCGCCAGCGTTCGCGGCACCGGATGTTGTCTTTTGTTTTTTCAGAAATTCATT